GATGAACTATCCCAAATGGCACATTTCTGTGCTCCTTGGCCTCAAGGTGGCTCCACAACTACACAATAGATTTAAACAGAATAGAACACAATAGAAAAAAAACATAAAATAGAACTTTATTGTTTGTTTTTGTTGTGGTTTTTTTTTCAGAAAAGGACTGTTTATCAGCTCTTGGATTGCCAGCAAAAGAAAAAGTATCCAACAAAGTTACATAGTGAGGTGTGCAACATGATAGTAAACAGTGCAGCGTGTGGTCCTTCCAGTACACCTGGCTTTCTTTGGGAGTCGACCAGTCTGGATATTTCTGAGAAAATGTTAGTCATTCTGATAGCAGACACGTCTCTGTGATCTTGACTAACTGAACTAACATTTTACACATACAATACTTCCACATACCACACCCAAGATACAGGTGCCTTCTGCAAAAGAGATCTGTGGTTTGTCTTTCTTAGAAGAATCCAAAGAAAGATATTATAAGAAAACCCTGAAAACAAACTTAGAAAGTACCAGCCTCAGTCAAATCAAATCGAATGACTTTTTATTGTCACATCACAGTGCTGAGTTCCTTACGATTACACTTTAACTCCTAAGTTAACATTTGTTAGGACTTTGACCGTGAATTAAAACAATACAGCAGCTGCTGAGATGAACAGCGTCAACCTTATTTATAGGCACCTGCCAGACGAAGGACTTTTCCTTGGATATTGTGTCCTACATTTCTCTTAATATGCAGGGTTGGTACTAACAACAAATTCGAGTGACCTAGACTACACGAGACACCAGAGGTTTTCCCAAAAATACCTTTTTGGGTTAATAAAGAAAGTATTCACAGCTGTAACGATCCAGCACAATCTCCCAAAGTCACCTGTTTACCGAATGCTTATTACTGGTGTGAACGTGAGTTATTCTGCACCCCAGTTCTCCCGCTAACATTTCCTCTATTTTGCTTGAACATTGAATGAGGTAGGGCAGCAATGCGTGGATAGAATGAACAACAATGTTAACGCACTGCAGTGTGAGTCATATCAAACCAGTTAGGCGGGATAGTTTTTGTTTTTTTAACAAGTTTTTAAAATGGCTGTTGGAAAATAGTGTACACATATACTTCTAACCTTCAGCACTAATCCAACAATACTAGGAAGTCAAACCTACAGTGCAGGAACAACCACTAAATAACTGGGACTGTAAAGTGTCTTGCTACTCTCCATCTGTAACGCCTGTCTTGTATAACAATATCTAGATAATTGCAATCTCATTTGGCTTTTAAATGTGGAAGGCTTGCAAAGTGAAGAGTGTATCTTCTTCTTTTGTCTGTGTGCACAGATGTGCTGTTAAGTGCAGTGAGCCTTTTCTGTGTTTGATCGATCTGCATGCTGACTTCAAGCTCTGCATCAAGTCTTATTCAAGTGAAACAAAATTGTCTTACTATTGCTAGGCTGAGGCTCCTTCTAATAGATGGCAAAAATAACAAACTAGTATTTATTTGTAGTCTATTTATAGTCATTTCTATATTAATTTCACATTAATTGATCTCAGGTTTAAGTAAAAATTGTAATCTATGATCGCATTGTCACTCTTTGTGATTTAAACTGCCACGACGAGAAGGACAAATGTTGTAAAATTACTACTGATATAGAATCTAAAAAAAGCACACAATAAAAATGTAACTACTGTTCATATAACAGACTACCCATTACATTGCACACCTACTGTTCTTTGACCTGAAAATGTGTTGAAATATAGTGATTAAAACATGCACTTTAATGGGCAACTGACCAGGCTGTTATTTTCGGGTTCAGCACTCATCCTAAGCAATTAAACCACTTCAAGGCATAAAAGCCTGTTTATAAATAACCTCACAACCAACAGGCCAGAACCAAAATTGTCAGTTTGTTTAATCCCCCCCCCATTCGCAGCTGTTCAATCTAATTCCGATCAACACCACAGGTTTTATGACTGCGACGATGAAGCAATACAGAACGGCCGGTGTACACTGGAAACTCAAAGTCTTTTCAGATCTCTTGGGAGAGGCTTGTAAAGGATTACTCATTCAACACATGACACTGGGTTGCATTATTTTGGCATAAATAAATAAAAAAAATCATATTGGTATTTCAAACAAAAATGTTTTGGGACAGTTCGGAGGTGCTTTTCGTGGGAAAATGTAGATAAAGCAATTCAAAACAACAGAAAATAAAGGACACTACAAGTGAAGAGAGGAAAAGAAAATCTAATATGTAGGTCAAAGGTTAAAGAATTGTAAGATCAAAGTGCAGACACTTTCACTGCTCTCTGAATAGATTTTAATGTTTCGAGTGGGGTGGATTAATAAAAAGGCTTATTTGAGTATACAAACTTCCAAAATTCTGTATTTATTGAAGTTCAAGCAAAGCATCGGCATCAGCTGCTGGTGGTGTAATGGTGTGGGGGATATTTTCTTGGCACACTTTAGGTCCCAAAGTAACAACTAAGCCTCATTTAAACACCACAGCCTATTTGAGTATTTTGAGAATGTCCATCCCTTTATGACCACATTGTACTCATCTTCTCATGTCCGCTCCCAACAGGAAATCACACCATATCACAAAGGTCAAATCATCTCATACCAGTTTTCTTGAACACGAAAATAAATTTTCTATATTCAAATAGCCTCCACAGTCACCAAATCCCAAACCAATGTGTTTCTAGCACCTTATATAATCCATGCCACACAGAAGAAAAGCAGTTCTGAAGCCAAAAAGGGGCTGAATGCAGTACTGGCAAGGAATACCTAATTAAGGCGGGTGTATTTATTCCACTATGTGATTTCTTCTAGGACATTATAGAGATATGATGTAAAACGCAAATAATTTAGACAGGGATAAAAACAATAACAACAACAAAAATCATTCATTCATCCATACACATGTTAGTTTACTGCAATAAAGTTTCCTACCTCTTCCTCATCTCTTCAATCAATGATGCTTACTGGGTACAAAAACCTTGAGGCAAATAATTTACTATTAGTCTCCCATCTGACTTAAGACTGTAACTAAGGAAAAAAGGGGAAAAGGAGCCCCTCTCTAGCAATTAAGCGCTCAGGCCATAGTCTGGTAGGGAATATAACTAGGTTTTACCAGCAAAATAAAAAAGTTTAAAGTCCAAAATAGATTAAATTTAAAAATAAAACAACAACAAACAAAAACACACACGCGCTCACAAAAGTCAATCAATTCCCACTTCCTGGTGAAATCGAAACACACCGCAACATAGTGTCGCGCAACAAAAACGCAACCGAAAGAGGCGCAATGCCTGCTGGGAAATGTAGTCTTTCACGAAATGGAATTTTCCAAGATATCTGCGAGAGCAGAGTGAGTGGAAATTTACTCCGTTTCCCTCCCTTCGTAGTATGCAGAACTGTGTCTGCCGTGCAGGATGTTTTGTTGAAACTCAACCAGTAGAATCATATTCTTATCTGTCTGCTGAGGCTGTTGACGGTTATTATCATGGTCAGGGCAACATGCCTGATTACAGCAATATCTTTTGGATTATTATTGTTATAATATTGTTATGCTCTACAACCTTCTGGTACATTCTTTATATTATTTGCTCAGTAGTAGTGCCAGCTGTTTTAACAGAACCCAAGCTGTGCGGTTGATTATAGTGAGTGTTTTAACTTGCATTGCAAGCCTCTTCTAACACTATCTACACTATGCAACATACACACGCACAAACAGACACACACTGAAGAATCGGAGCATGCAAATATTTGCAAGCGGTAACATTAATGCACACACCTACTTCACATGCACACACTATTTAGGGCCCACTCAACACAAGAGGTGCTGCTGTCTGATAAGAATGAGACACTTGCTTTTCTCCCAACTGGATGTAATGTTATTATGATTGTTTTTAGAGAGCAAAGCTCATGTGGCTCAGCTCTGTGTTGCAATGGAGTGATGGCACAACAGTCACTATAAATTAGGTGTTGATGATTGCTGGTGTTTTCTCTTGTTGCTCTACAATGACAACTATTTCCTCCAGATTGCAAGCCCGATGCTCTCCAACAAATAGCAGCGTCCGTGTCAGGTCACTTGGAAAATGAAAACATGTGTTGTTGCAACAGCAAAGTATGCATAACTTTATTCCTCTGATGGGCATTGTTGTTGGCATGCGGGCCAAAAATTCCTTTCTGGGGAGACTTCAGAAAAAAATAAATCTCATTAGGAGCTACACTTCAGTGACCTGGCCTTGAATGGGTTTCTAGCAGTTTCCCCGATTGGCAGCAGCTCGAGACCTTCCAGGTGTGTTAGTTCAGGTTAAGCAGCCACCTTGGTATCTAATTAGGGGTACATAAAAGATTATGGAAGATTTGGCAAGCTTAGGGATGCTTTGTCTGATCAGCAGTGGAAAGTTACTAAACATTTAGACAACTTTACCCAGTTAGACAAACCAGTAAATACTAACATCTATTCTCCATTTTCACGTTTAAGTAAACCCGACACTTTTTAATTTTCACGAGTTCGTAAAAATGCATATGCCTGACCTACTTATTTTGTTTAAGGACAAGCAAATGATCTTCCTCATTCAAAGCACGCTGAGGAAAAGGGTGGGCGTGACCCAGGACTCTCGACTTCCCGTTGAATCGCTCAGTGTGCACCTGCCTGTCTTCCTAAGCTTACATAAACAGACAGGTGACCAGGAGAACCAGTAGCCTAGTGATAATAAACCGGAGCAATTTCTAGTAGGCGGTATTTTGCGCCCTGTAACACGTCACGGGTGTAATACACGTGTGGGGCGTGGAATCGAGCGGATGCCTATAAGGAGCGAGGGCAGCATTGTCTGACGGGCATCACAGCTTTCTGTGAAAGTCGGAAGAGACACGCCGGCAGTTAATGTGAAGTCCACAACCTGGAGAGGCGACCTACGTGAGCCGAGGAAGCTGCGAGCATTCAGTACGAAGACGCTTCTCCACACACATCTCCGCCTATGGGGCGTGGAGAGAGACGGTTGTGAATCTCTTTGCTTTTGGCGCGTTCGCGAACACTAGCGATCCAGGTACATGTGTAGCGACTTGTTTTGACTTTTTTTTTTATCAGCAGAACCGGTGAGTGTGTGTGTGGAGGCTGAGCTGTTTTGTCAATAAACCAAAATATCCGAGCACGTGCCAGCGGGAAGTCCATTGAGGCTGCTTTTATTTAAAGCTACGCTAGGTCTCATTCAATGGGGTGCCAACTGACTGTTGAGCCACCAGACTCATGTTTTACAGCTGACGTCAGGCAGGGGGAAATGACGGATGTTTTAAAGGGTAAAAAGTGTGAAGGAGTACGCGTAGAGCCGTCCGTGTGTGTTTGGAAACGCGTCCCGCATCTCGAGGATGGCTAATGATGACGACTGCTATCTCTTGGAAGATGCGCAGTTTTTGCAGGCGGATGAATGAGTGACTGTTCTAGAAATTTCCCCCCACTACTTAGGTGCAGTTGGGACTACTTGCCTGACCGTGGTAGACTGGTGTCGCCCTCCTCTCTGTATTCACAAAGGCACTCTCAGGCTGTCAGGCACATTATACCGCTGCTCTCCACGATGGCGTCAGTCGGCCTTTGCTCCAAAGCCCTTGATCGCTTATTGTGTTATTAGACATTTAAAGCAGAGGTGCCACATTTGGTGTCTCCTTGTAGGCTGCTGTGACCGTTGCCAGAGAGCGACATTCATTTAAAATCCGGCTGTGCAAAGTAAGCTGCTCAGCATAAGTTTAGTCCTTAACGACTCCTTAAATAAATTGCAGCTTCTGTTTATCCTCAGGGTTTATATATTTTATTGTAATTCGTATTCCCAATGTGGTATTGGCACATGCCAGGACACGTTTGTCTTGGCGTGCATCTCTGCTGTCAAGTAACTGCTATGCACTTGCACACTAGACCTTCTTAGATAGGTCTTGGCTTAGAAACAAAAAAGAAGAAGAAAGAAACTTTAACTACATGGATTTATTAATGTGTTATGCATGTGCTAAAGTCTGCCCCGTGGCATTATTTAAACCCATGATGTCAGTATGTGGGAGCATGCTGCGCGAGTCCCCATCCTGGCATACCGGGGTGTTGGTGATTGAGCTTGACTCTTGCATTAAATAATGATATTGCAAATACAATTCTATTTGTCTGCTGAATGAATGAATGCTATATTTCAGAGTCTCATGGGCAGTTTGTGGTGAACACATGGAGCGCAGGCCTTGATGATGAGATGGTAAAATGAAAACAAAGGCTTCTTTTACAGAGAGGGATGGTTATGCATAAAGCATGGTTGTGAAGTCCGATGCGTGGGGTTATTTTCTCCCATGCATGGCAAGCTGAAACCTCAGGAGGGGCCTGGCAGCCAAGTGTGTGTTTGTATGTTTGTGTGTGTATGTGTGTATGAGACTGACACAAAACAGATGTGCTCTGACATCCCCTTGCATATTACTTTTTGCTGACACAAGAATTTTATTTTAATCCATCCCTCTTGTAAACTTTATGTTCCTGCAGAATTTGGAATATTTAGCATATGCAGAATGCAGTTAGCTATAAACTTTTGGTGCAGTTAAATGTCCTTCTAATTTCAGGAGTGGAATATGACGATGCCAGTTTAACAGATTCAGGTGTGTCCATAAAAGCAGACATTGTGAATCGGTCCTTGTTTTGTGTGGTATATATAAAGGAGCTATACTCCTTTAGCTCCATATTTAAACTTGTAGCCCTAAATGTATTTTTGCTACCTGTTTATTTTAATGCGCTGCAAGTTTTTGTGTAAGGCACAAGTCAAACTGCACATTTGGTAGTGGCGCAGCGGCATAGTCTTTGCCACATTTCATGATGTCTTACATAATGCTTCTTTGAAGGTTTTATAGTAGTGTGGCTTGAGTCCTTTTGTGTTTAAACAGATTAACGAGGAAAGTCACAGGAAGTCTAATCCCACTGGAAAAATACTAGAGTTGCAAAGCTGGAAATGAGCAATAATATATTGAGCTTCATGTAGTTTACTGAGCATATTTTCATATATTTACATATATTTTCTTTTATTAGTGATTTTTGATCTTTTTATTTTTGTCATCAGATGCAACACATTTCTGTAATTTTATTTTTTTTTGCCCCCACTACACTTCAAATCAAACCTCTAATGTGGTGTTTTTCTTTGCTGTCTTGCAGGAATTTTAACTCTTGGCTTTTCTAGACCAGAGACGTGCAGCATCCTCCGCTTAAAAACTAGAACGACCTCAGTGCCAGTGGATAACCCCATCCAAGTAGTGTATTTGACCAGACAGTGGATCTTAACAACTTCCATCCAGACAGCAAACCAAAGCACAACATTTCCATTCCATTTAAACAAGTGCAAAATAAGTATATTTATATATTTCCATTTTTCTTTATTTTCTTTTATTTTTTTAAAGTTTCCTGTAAGACTTTTTTTTTTTTTTTTAAACATAATCTGTAAAAAAAATGGCTGGTGGAATGGAAGCAGTGGACATAGCTGTGGTGGCACTGTATTTCGTCCTGGTGCTAGCCATCGGGTTTCTTGCCATGTGGAAAGCCAATCGCAGCACTGTGAGCGGCTACTTCCTGGCTGGACGCTCCATGACATGGATTGTGATAGGTGCCTCGCTGTTTGTCAGCAACATTGGCAGTGAACATTTCATTGGCCTGGCTGGGTCAGGAGCAGCAAGTGGCTATGCTGTAGGAGCGTGGGAATTTAATGCACTTCTACTTCTGCAGCTGCTTGGCTGGGTGTTTATCCCTGTGTATATCCACTCAGGAGTCTACACCATGCCAGAGTACCTATCAAAACGCTATGGTGGCAAACGACTCAAGGTTTACTTTGCTTTCTTGTCTGTGCTGCTTTACATTTTTACCAAACTGTCTGTGGACTTGTATGCTGGAGCTCTCTTTATTCAGGAGTCCCTTGGATGGAATCTCTATTTGTCTATTGTTCTGCTTATCAGTATGACTGCTCTGCTCACTGTCACTGGTGGATTGGTGGCAGTGCTCTACACCGACGCCCTTCAGGCAGTGTTGATGATCGGTGGAGCCCTCACCTTAACCATTATGAGCCTGATCAAAGTCGGTGGGCTAGAGGGTGTCAGAACTAAGTACATGCAGGCAGTTCCTAATGTTACCGCTATACTAGCCACTGGAAACTACACATACTCGCCTTCATGTCGCATTGACCCTAAACCAAACTCGCTGAGCATCCTTCGAGGTCCCCTGGATGAAGACATTCCTTGGCCAGGTTTTCTTTTTGGCCAGACGCCTGCATCTATTTGGTACTGGTGTGCGGACCAGGTCATTGTCCAGAGAGTACTGGCAGCAAAAAACATTGCTCATGCAAAGGGCTCAACACTCATGGCTGGATTTCTCAAAATCCTGCCCATGTTTCTAATAGTCATTCCAGGAATGATATCCCGCATTTTGTTTGCAGATGAGATTGCCTGCATCGGGCCGGAGCACTGCATGGCTGTTTGTGGTTCCCAAGCTGGCTGCTCAAACATTGCCTACCCACGTCTGGTCATGGCGGTGATGCCTGTGGGACTTAGGGGTCTTATGATGGCAGTCATGATAGCTGCCCTGATGAGTGACCTTGACTCGATCTTCAACAGCGCAAGCACAATCTTCACCTTGGACATCTACCAGACATTTCGGACGAAGGCATGCCAACGCGAACTGTTGATTGTGGGCCGCATGTTTGTTGTGGTCATGGTGGTCATCAGTATTGCCTGGGTGCCTGTCATTATTGAGATGCAAGGTGGACAGACATACCTCTACATCCAGGAAGTTGCTGGCTACCTCACTCCACCAATTGCTGCCCTTTTCCTTCTAGGTGTATTCTGGAAGCGATGTAATGAGAGAGGTGCATTCTGGGGAGGCATGACGGGTTTTACCCTAGGTACCATACGACTGATCCTGGCATTTATCTACCGTCAGCCTCACTGTGACCAGCCAGATAATAGGCCTGCCTTCGTTGTTCGAATTCACTACATGTATTTTGCTGCTGGGCTGTTCTGGATTTCAGGGTTGGTGGCAATTGTGGTCAGTCTCTGTACTTCTCCACCAGATAAGGAGCAAGTTCGCACCACCACCCTCTGGGGGCTCTACAGCATTGAAATGACTCCCCCTAAGAACAGAGAGGAAACGTACCGGCTGACTGAGAAGAACCACTGTAATGGTGACACAAGCCTGCATAAAGAGCTGCCCCCAGACGTTAAAAAAGAGAGGTGCGTGGACGGGATGGATATCAAACTTCTGGTCCCTTCCACAGACCATGACCCAGCAACACCAAGTACAGAAACGTCCCCTGCCACCACTCCTGGAGCCCAGATTGGTAACAGAAATATGGAGACAATCAGAGCAGAGGAAGGCTGCCGTAGTGGTGCGGAGACGAGCAGGTGCATGCGTTTGCTGGACTGGGTTTGCGGCTATAAGGGAGAATCGCAGAGCGCTCAGCAAAAAGGGGCGAAGGAGGACGCGAGAGCCATCGCCGAGATGCTGTACGAGCCACCTCGAGTCAAACTTCTCCTCAACCTGGGCTTGGTCTCAGTCTGCTCTGTGGGCATCTTCATGTTTGTTTATTTTTCACTGTAGTAACAAGGACCGAGTGGGGTGGGAGGTGTCTGGGGCTTTTAGAAAGAGTTGACTTTTCAGAGATGTATGAAGCTCTGTCTGTAATATTTACAGTTGTATTTTGTAGCTCTCTAACAGGGATCTAAGCTTAGTGTAATCATTTTTTTTAAATGATGAAAGCTTCTTCACATTTTAAAAAAACCAAACCAAAACAAAAAACTATGACTTCTCTATGACTCTGAATCTTATTTGACACTAGCGTGTCAGTTTTGTACAGTGCTTATTGTTATTCCTGTATTCAAAATATCTACTGGGATTTTTAGAATTGTTGTACTCTAAGTGAATTCAATATTTGCCTTATTTGACATATGCACTTGTCTTTTTTGTATTGTGAAAATAAATGTATTCTGTGATTTTTCTTTTTTTTTTTTTTTTTTTTTTTTTTTTTTTTTTTTTTAAGCTTTTTATTTTACT